TTAACACGTGAACATACTTTAATACTTGTCCTAACATACTCTTACATGTGTAACATGTTAACATAGTCTCATACTTGAACCTTATATGCCTTGTGTTCCCCATGTCACCACTGTAATATACTTCATTCTTGTTTACTGTCTTCTCTCCTATGCAACTTCATCAATATTACTTGTCTTAGGCAACAAGCTCAGAGTGCATAGAAACTAAGAGAACCACACATAATTGAGTATTTTATACTGGAATGCTTGATATTACAACCACTTCCCTTGCTTTTTCTTAAGGGCCCTGTGCCTACAATGATTTATCACTGAGTTTCCACAGTGACAAGTGAGAGTTAATGTTCTTTCTCCTTGCTTTCTTGTGCCAAAGGCTGACTTTTAGATGTCAGCACAGTGATATTCAGCCACTTAGGAAACCCCAGCAGACTCAGAAGCAGGCTATGTCTTCTTTCTTCTTCTTTCCTTATTAGAGTGGTAGGATAACTTCTCACACAAATTCAACTACCCCTTGAATAAAGGTTCTCTGAGACCCCATTGTTGCCCTCTCATAGCCTTCTGTTAATATCTGTAAGATATTAGGTAGCTTATTGATAATTAACACTAAATACATCAAAAACTAAGCTACGTAGATAATTTTTATATTTAAATTCTGATATACAAATGAACAGAAAGTATATACATAATAGTTTCTTGTGTTCGCACTTCTATTCCTACTGCCTTCATCCCGTCAGATTTGTATTTTGGTCACTAAACAGATCTCAGAACTTCTATATAAAGTTTTTTAAAAATTGCCGATTAAAGGAATCTAAAGAATTCAAATGAATGCAGAGGCAATGGTCTTCATCTTTCTAAAGATCATGATCTGTTGGAAGATATCTATGTGAAGAGGGAGTTATAAAGCCTCTTATATTCAGAGTATTCTGTAATCATAATGATCCAGAGATTTCACATTTAATGTACTTCATTCCCAAGCACAGGTTAGATTAAGTTTTAAAAATTTCTATATAAAGTTTTTTAAAAATTGCTGATAAAGGAATCTTAAGAATT